TACCCAAGTAAGTGCTGATCTACCTTATCTACCACATTTTTACTGTAAACACAGTTCATTCTAATCACTACTTCATGTATTGCTTGAATACGAGTAGACTACACATATATTTACATTGTGGTTCTCTGCTGTATTGATGTTGTCATCCTTACAAAGCCCCTGCTAGGAATTAAAGCATTATTCCATGATTGTCCAGCCAGTAGCATAGCTCTTTCACCCACTGAGCTAATCTGGCTCACAGGGAGACAAAATTCATCTTATCACTCACTCGAGCACATCTTGAGAAGCCGCCAATCGTGCATCCACTCAAGAACTTCCCAGTATTTTATGGAACACAAAGGTTCATTTCCGTGTTCACAAGAGCCCTCCAGTGGTCCCTATCCTAAGCCACATCAATCCAGTCTGTACCATCCCATCCTATCTCTCTGAGATCCATTTTAATATTGTCCACCCACCAACGTCGTGGTCTTCCCAGCGGTCTCCTTCCTTCCGGCTTTCCCACCAATATCCTACATGCATTTCTCGTGTTCCCCATTCATGCTACATGCACTGCCCATCTCATCCTCCTTGACTTGAACATAAATTCACCTTATACTCAGGTAAAAACATTACGTCCCAGTTTCAAATTCTAAAGTCTACATTATAACCTGTGGAAAGCCAACTAAAGTTTCAACTTCTTAAAAACAAACTCTGCCAAAAGTACCTCACCTCAGCACCTTGAAAGGTACTGGAAAGATGGATGCATCAACGGGTAAACCTAACAGAATAATACTGTGCACTGAACAATACTGCTATCTAGAGGAAATATTCTGGTAAACATTTATGTAGCTACTTTTGGGAGATGGACAGACAGCTGGATGTTAGAGAAGTTCAGAATTCTGAAACCCCACAACCCAGTATCATCACTAAAAACGTGTCGGTACAAGCCACACATTGGAAATATTTCTTCTTTCCAAAAAAAAAAAAAAAAATACAATGAATATGTACCCATAAGATTTGCGGTTAGGAGGGCGGTGACAATGAAGATTATTGTCATTTAGAATGTGACCCCATAGAGTTTGGTAGATTGTTATCGACGTTTTGGAGGAACCCGCTGCCTACACTCCTCTATTCTTATCACCTAAGGTACTCTCTAACTCAGTCCTTGTTCCCTTTTCTCCTATCACACATTTTTAGAAAATTATCAGCCAAAAAACCTACCTTCAGTCAGCCTCATGAAGGCCACAGTTTTCCTGCAATTGTTTCCCCTAACTTCCCTGTACTGCTTACTGGTCCACTCAGCCATATTTTTCCCAATCAAACCTCGTTAGAAACCTTCTTTACACTGATTCCATTTCCTCTATTGGGTCACTTAGGATCTCGACCCCTGTTCTCCCTCCCCCTATATCTGTAACACACTTTTCTATGCTTCGCTTACTCTTCTACCCTGAAGATGGAGGCAGAAGATTCCTCCAAAACCTTAGTAACGATCTACAAGCCTACATTGTGTCACAAAATACAGCAGTATTCAACAAAGAACATGCTTCTAAAATATTTTCAGCGCTTTTCTTTATGAAATAACAAACCTACATACAAACACACATGCATATTGACATGCATTACTACATATGATAATATTAAAGCAATTAGAAGCAAAATACAGTAAACCCTCGGTAATCTGGATTTATATTGGGGGGAGGGGGGTCATTCGAATTAAGCGATAAGCCAGATTGGTGATGCAAAAGGTGGCCCTAAATGACAGAAATCTTATAACACAAATAAATTAAAAATGTAATGATATAGGTAGTTCTGCTGAAAATAAAAAATATCACTCTGAGGTCTTTATTTAAAACTATAAAAATACAATATATTTATTCATCGATATAAGACTCAAAGTTGTGCTTGCTCTTGAATGTAATAATGCAGGTTTGAAGAAACTGTCAAGTTTTTTCTGAACTGGTAAGTGACTCATCTGCCTTCCTATATATATTTATATTATATATTTATTATTTACTGCAATTGGGCTTATGCCCAGTGGCAGTGTTTACAAAAACGGACATACATTCAACAAAGATACATCACATACGTCTCAAGAAATTTCGCAGTACAATACAAGTACACTTCACTTCTCTTCACTTCACTTGCTCTACTGATTTTGCTTTCCTAACCTTCTTTCTAAATATATGCGCTTTAACAGTGTGAGTCCCAATCACCCCTTCAGGTAACTAGCAATGGTCCTGTTCACAAAGGAAAACTTCCCGACATCTGTTCTTATTGACATGCGTCTTTTACAGTCAAGTACTCAAATGTGAACAGCATTTTCCATTTTTCGACCCACATTAACCAGCATCCAGGTTAACTGTAATCGGAGCAGTGAGGGTTTACTGTACTACCATATTTTAGCTGCAATGCAACTATGAACAAGAAATAACCTAGCAACAAGACATTACAGGCCAAACTCGACTTTTTTAACTTCCTCACAGCTACAAATATCATTAGGAGACGGGATAAAAACAAAATTATTTCTATTATTTCAGCTACTATAACCATGCAATTAGACCAAGAAAGTATTTATTTATTTATTTATTTGTTTGTTTGTTTGTTTGTTCACTGTAAATAGCTCAGACCATCTGGCATTGGAGGATTTTCTTCAAGTTACTTTGATTTCCCCCTGCTAAGTACCAATCCCCCATTGCTAGACACCCACCCATCACTGCCTCCTGACGTGATAACACTGACTAAGTAGCACATTATCACATGCCCCATCTTTATTTTGGGTCCTTCATGTTGGCCCCAGCACTTGAGAAGCTACAGAGAAATGAAGTTAGTTAACATGGTTGGTTAGTTAGTCAGTCCATTAGTTTTAGTTGTATAAAAATCATGAAATTATATTTTGTATTGCTAGTGGGGTGGGACTATGTCCCTTGTACTGCGGCCACTTGTGGCCTATTGTACCAGCCACAGATGATAGGTGAGGGTGATTGTGGAGCAACTGGTGGAATGAAGATTGGCAGGGGAAGCCGAAATACTCGGAGAAAACCTGCCCCAGCTCCACTTTGTCCACCACAAATCCACTTGACCAGACCCGGGATCGAACACAGGCTGCTGCAGTGCGAAGCCAGCAACTAATCCCTTGAGCTATGGTGCTTATGAAATGATGATATGACAATGATAAAATAATGTCCATCTGATCAGAAATTCATATCCTCCAAGAGGCCCACATCTGCACAACCCCATGCTACAGTAAAAAGTGTTTTATAAAGTCCAGATGTGCCAACAATGACGGTAGGATTTTTGTGCTAATAATTTTCTGAAGGCTTGTGACAATGGTTAATTCATTATATTGCAAATATATCTGCCACTGATATCTCAGATACATTTCACTATTCATGAACTAGTCTGCTCCCATCTGCAGGTTACTGGCTGTCATTATACTGACACACATATATAAGCGGTGTTCTCGCAGCAGTGAATGAAGCGTGATGCCAAACAGATAGGTGAGACCACTCTGAAGCCACCTGCTACCGCCATCTTCAACACAGAATATCTACACTGGAGGCAACAGACTCCTCCAAAATGTCCGTAACTCTCTACATATTACACAACATCACATTCCAGGAGATGATAATCTCAAATACTGATAATTATTTTTATTTTTCGTATTCGTGTTAGAAGCCAGGATCAAACTCAGGACGCTTGTAGTATTAAATTTGTAAATCATAAAAAATCAGCTATTATCCATTGGTACAACTCCCACCACTGCTAATAATATCAAAAATAAAAATGAAATATCACTATAATGACATCAGATAGTGTGCAAAGGGTCAACTCCCAAAACACTGTCTATATAAAATATACATCATGCAATGCTCAAAACAGTTGCAGTGTAATGTGCGCATTAGCTAAGAACATTCCAGACACTGGTGACATCAGCAGGCTAAGAGAATGCTGATATGAAAATATTCTGAATCCTGAAAGAGTTATTTAGAATTTATTGAAATACCACCAGAATGGCCAACAAACTGAAAACTGTATACAGGATTTCTATTCAATTGAAAAATAATTATCTAATGCTAATTCTTGTAATTCATTTATATTCTGTTCCACTGTGTTTATTATAACGTAAGTCAGATGACAAAAACTCCCAAGGCCTATAGTCCACAAGCGAACTATACCGACCGAGCGACTGTCGCTTGTCAGCAATGTTAATGCCAAGTTTTGAGGGATAGATGGTGTCACGTGGTCAGCACAATGGATCCCCACAGCCGTTAATCTCGGTTTTCTTGACCTTGAAATAGCACCTCAATTATCTTCTTGAGGCTGAATGTACACCGTTCCAGACCCACTACTTCTCAAAAAATTTGGTAGCGCCGGGAATCGAACCCAGGCACTCTGGATCTGTAGCCAGGAAGTCAGACCACTAGACCACAGAGGCGGTCATAAGTCAGATAACACTGCACAGGATGGCTTAGCAGCAAAGTCTACACTTAGATTCAAGAGGTGTTCGGTTTGAATGTCGGCCGAGATAGCAACTATTCTGAGGTTTTTCATGGTTTTCCTCAGTTCCTCCTCAGAAATGCAAGGATAAAACAACAATCTGGTCATGACCATAGCGTTCCAGTTCATCATTCGTCGATCATCCTGCCATTTGACGACGTGCAATATATGTGCAGCACTGCAAAATGTACCACTAAAATCAAATACAAGGCAGAGGAATGTACTGTAACAATGCCAGAAGACATTTTAGTTTATTTTCATGATCATGTTTCTCTTTACACTGCTTATCATTCTGTGCTGAGTTTTCTGCATATTCAGATAAATCGGTACTTATTATCGTTTGTTTTTCTACACGATTATCTTTTATCTTAGAAGAAATATTCAATGTGTTAATAAATTCATGACAGTCCACTTCATTGGCAGAAAACCTGCTGATGTCACTGACTACATATATATAATGATGCAGGGGTAACAAGTCTACACGACGAACACCATTTCACAACAAAGGTTATATTACCATGTACCTTGCGGTGGCTGATAAGGTGTCATTATTGCAGAGTTATAGCCATATCCTAGATGACAGAAAACACTCATTAACTGAAACTAGTATTAGAGGCACTTTCTATGACATGGAATTTTATCCCTTCTACTACTCTGTGTCAAGTTACAGTAATTCGTAAATTATTATCAAACCAAGATTTGTTTGATCTGTCAGACTGCAATGCGGATGTTGACACCACAGCATTCCTAGCGTGCCGTGGTTTTAGTCTGACTCCAATTGCTTCTGCTATATTTATCAAATGCTACCCATCGTCATTCACTATGAGCTGGTTAGATATGATTAAGATACTCGCATTAAAACTGTCACAGCTGAAGAGATCAGCTCTATGTTAATCATGTAGTATGGTACTTGTGTCAACAGATGGCATCAGTGTTTAGAAGAAAGACCAAGCTTATGCATTGTCTATACTATATCTGTGGTCATTTTAAGATACTCTGAGGTGCATTGTCAGCTTTATTGTGAAACTACACTTATCATCAAGAAGCCTTGGCACCTCCAGCAGCTAGTTGTATGGCAGGGCTCGGTATTCAAAGGTTTCAGTCCACTTTTGTCACCATCAGTAAAATAAATTCCACCTTCCTCTAAAATAAGCTGCTTCATAACACTGTTTTATGTGTCAGTATTTTCAAGCAGTTAGTAGCGGGCTTCCCAACGCGGTGGCCTGGGTTTGATCCCTGGTCTGGTCAAGTGGGATTTGTGGTGGACAAAGTGGCGCTGGGGCAGGTTTTCTCCGAGTACTTCGGTTTCCCCTCACAATCTTCACTCCACCAAATTCTCCATCATCATAATCACCCAGAGCAGACTACAAGAGGCCAATCAGTGGCCGCCGTGCCGAGTGGACCCAGTTGGACTCGCCCCCCCCCCCACTAAGCGAATTAAAAAGAAAAATAAAGCACACACACAAATCTATCATGATCTGTCTCCATATCCAGCTCTGAATGCCACACATACCAGTGTGCTGGAGGCACTTTCTGGCTCCATCGTCAAGAGAAATTAAAATGTCAAATCAAGGCGCTGCGTCTACACAAGTTCGGCTGCGACTTACTCATTACAAAACGCTGTGTATGCGCACATCCTGATCACATTTGTTAGATGTAGGATAAAGTTAAATGCAATGAACTTTACATTCCTCGCACACTGATATACACTCAACTCTCAATTATCCGGGATAATGGTGGGGATGGAAATCACGATTAATCGAAAACCCGGTTAAGACAAATTTTATTAAAATTAGTACTGTAATACTGTACCTTCATAATACTATAGGCCTACCTGTATTTAAATTTATTCAACCTCATTTTTATGTCATCTCATGGCCTATTTAATACTTTTCTTTTTACATTACACTGAAGTATGAATTAGTTATTTAAATCACAGTGTTCAACAACATCCAACACTTTTTACGAATATTCACACTTAACACACTGTCGTTTGCTTTTTCGCGGCATTTTCCTTTTTACGGATATCCGTACGAAGGCTACGTAATATTAGCTTGTCACTTAATAAACTGTTCTCTTCACTCTCAAGATCACTCAAGATAGTCTAGTAAGGATTCCAAATGATTAAGAGCAGCACCGTGTGATATTTTCTTACTAGCAGCACCATCCACCTCTTCCTCATTCTCCCTTTTTTTTCCCGCTCTTCTGGCTGAACCCCCACTGAACTTGATTTCGTCACCGCTTAACATTTCGAAGCCCGGCTCACACGAGTTTCTGTTGAATAATTAACACAACACGCTTCCTTTCACACCCTGACATTTTGCTAACACACTTGAAGATCGATACAAAGAGACTAACTGGATCGGTGTATCTGTCCTTGAAACTTTCCACAAATCCTTGCATTCTTTCACCTCTACCCTAGAACATTTTGTTAGCATAACGGAACCAAAAAATGCAGAGCTCGGTTCACACTAGTGCGAAAATAGTGGTACAACTCACCATGTGAAACAAAAGTGAATGAAAATTAAACAACATATAAACCTCAAAAAAGCCCCGGTAGTCCCGGTTAAGCCGCAAACCGGTTTATCCGCCCCCGGATAATCGAGAGTTGAGTGTACTTAGGCATCAAGTTTTTAACACTTAAGACTACAAGGGCAGAAAAATGAGATTACAGAATATCCCTTATAGACACAACTTTCTCTGAAATTCCTGGCTGTGGTCTTCTGGGTTGTGATAACATGTAGTCTTGTAGGCGGATATTGTCATTTTGAAAGGACACGCTGCCTCCATCTTCAGGGTTAAATTATATCACAACCCAGGATAATCTGAAGAGTCACCAATGTGAAAACCTCAAAATTTATAGACCTGAAAGGATTCTGACGATGGTGTATGCTGTACAGAACTATTCGGCTTATTTTGGACTCTATCCATCGTCTGGTATATAGAAGACAAAAAACCGCAACGTTTTGGAGACTGGATCTGTCTCCGTCCTCAGGTGAATGGGGCAGGATAAACCTACTCAGTTGGGCCCATTAGAAAGAGCTAGTCTCAGTCGCTGGACCAGTGATTTATAATTGAAGATCTTACTTACCAGGAGCTCCTGGTGGCCCTCCACTTATTGGCTGTGCTGCAATTGGCTGCCCATATCCACCAGAAGGTGGGTACCCTTGAGGCTGATAACCCTGAGGTTGGTAACCTGGCTGTCCTCCAGGTGGGACATACCCTGGATGTGGCTGGAATCCCACATGTCCTGGTGGAGGATAGCCTTGCCCTGGCGGCATCTCTGAAGCATACAACAACATAATGTCAGTCCTTCACAGAATCTACTTCATTTATTTGATAATGTTGTTTGGTAATGCTTTATAGGATATTGGTGGGAAAACCACAAGGAAAGAGACCACTAGGAAGACCAAGATGTAGGTGAGTGGACAATATTAAAATGGATCTTAGAGATGGTATGGACTGGATCAAGCTGCCTTAGGATAGGGACAAGTGGAGGGCTCTTGTGAACACGGTAATGAACCTTCGTGTTCCTTAAAATTCTGGGAAGTTCTCGAGTAGCTGCACAGAAGGGCTCGGCTCCATGAGTGAGCCCAGTACTGCTCTACACTCATGCTTGGGAGGTGCCTAGTTCTAATTTTGGCTGGAACACTAGCTATCCTGACAGGATTTTCACGGTTTCCTTCAGTCACTCCAAGCAAATGATAGGATAGTAATTCAATTAGACAACCCTTTCCTTCCAAATGCTTTCAGATTCATCATTCATAAGTCGTACTACCAGCCTAACTAATGAGTGTCCTAAAAGAAAAATGTTTTCCTTGTGCCACGCCATAATGACACACAGAGAAAGGGAGGTGTATTTTTACCCTTATCACTGGATAAAGATGAATGAAAGAATCTCTTGCCCCTACCAGGAATTGAAACCTGATCCCTCAATCATCCAATTCACAGCCTGGTGGCTACACCAGCTGGGCTATCTCACTCCCACAATCAGAATATTCGTTATACAAAGTCAAATGGTAGGATGATTAGTGAAGAACGGCGTGGAAAGGATGTGGGAGGTGCCCATGGACAAATTTAACTCCAGCATTTGCTTGGAAGGACTGAGGAACAACACAAAACAAACTTCCGTTATGACAGTCAGTCTCTAAGCCAAGATTTGCAGTGATGATCCCCTGAACAGGAAGCAGGAGCAACCACTCAACTGTAACATTTAGCAGCAAATGCACTCTCTCCACATCAGCGTGTCACTCATCTGTTCTAATTTCAGAGAAACTGTTCTGTATGTACCTGAATACGGTGGAGGATAACCTGGTTGTCCAGGCTGTGGATAACCTGCCTGTGGGCCAGCTGGTGGGTAAGACATCTCAGTTGTTGATGATTCTTCTCAACCAATTGATGTTTTACTTTTGCGACCTGAAAAGAAATGAAGTTCTTGGATCTGAGGTTCTTATGGCAGTGACTATAAAAAGCATGGTATTTTGGGTTGAAACTCTATTTCGGAGATAGCTCCAAATTTCAGAGGAACACACTGATTCCCATCTTTAGGGTCAAGGAGTAACTAAAGTAAGAAACCAGGAGAAGCAGACAGTAAACTCAATACTGAAACATTTGAATAAACCTCCTTGTAAGGGGGGCACACAGTAGCACAGATGGTTGATGGACTATGCTACAAGCTGGAAGGTCATGGGTTCAAGTCCCAATAAGATGGATTTTTTGCAATTTACCTAATCCTTCCAGCTGCACTATGGCCCTGTGTTCAACTCAGCCTCCAACAGAAATGAGTACCAGATATCTTCCTGGGAGGTAAAGGTTGGCCAGCACGTCAGACTGAGAACCTCACCGCTGTGAGTGGACTGTCTAGAAAAATGTGGGAGCCTCGACACCTCACAACCCTATGGGCCTTCACGGCCTGCTACATGGATAGCTTTACATTTTTCATATTAATTATAACTTTAATCCCATTTTAAAACTTCCATGACTCTTATCAGACTAGAACAAGTGGAACACATGTTAACAGAACTATCACTGTTACTCAGAATCATCTGAGTAGTGTACCCATGATATCTGGCAGATTTCTCCTGAGAAAAAATCCTGTATAAGCACAAAATTACAAACACTTCATGGCCTCAATTTACACTATTCTTGGAGCTCACATTCTGGAGTCATTTTGTCATTATATTATGAAAAATTCTGATCTGCCCTGCTCCAGCATTCTGTTCAGCTGACAGTTTGAAATCTTCGACCTCTTGATCAGTGGGTTAAGCCATAAATGACAGACGTGCAACTAAACAAGAAAGTGTGAACTTTAAGATTCATATGGGAGTGTCTACAAAGGGTTCAGCCTCATGCTCTGTGGTTTGGTACCTCAAATGGGCTCTGCTTCACCTATGACACCCACCAACCCCAACCCAACCAAATAATCAGGTAGAAAATTTGCTCAAAAACATATGTTCTCCATAACAGTCCCTACACACTGGCATCATATTAGCGCGTCTGGCCACATGCCATAATTATAAAAATTAAAATCATACAAACTCTAATATGCTGTCAAATAATTTTTCAGAAAACACGTTTATGTTCATGTATGTTGTGTTTCTGTATAAATTTGGATTATTTTCGGTCCCATAAGGGATTTCCATCCGTTACATGTCAAGCACATCACCTCCATACCATATTCACATAAAAGAGAAACTTTGGGTGAAAATAACTGTACTTCGCTCAAATATATATATATACACACACACACACACACACACACTGTACACACTACAATTTCCGAACGTACTTCTACTGATCTTCCTCGTAATTTTTGACCAACTGACACTTCTGAAACAGATTTTTAACTTCTGGTCTTGACACCCACTAACTTACAGCATTACAAACATATTTCGAGGCACTTGACAGACGACGCCCACTTCTAGAATATTCGTCACAATGACACATAACATATCTAATGACTACGACCTGAAATTTACAACTTCTGAACGCTATCATAACTCGCACTTGAAAAATTATCGCATTATTTTACAGGTATAAAATCTTCGCTGTGGTCGACAATAAATCTAATAATAACACACGGGCATTCCAGTCATAATCCAGTTCGTACCTGATATGAGGTGATCTCCCGATCGTTGACTATACGACGATACTTTTAGCAATATGATACCTCAGCCACTCCCAACTGATTTCAGAGCTCCATCTTGTATTTCGCTTCAATCCACGACCTCTATAGTGATATTATTTTGTTTTGCTACATTTCCCATGTGATGTAAACTTCATTTCCGCTTTCATGTTTCAGCGTTCCACCACCAGAGATCTCTAGAGTCGAGCTGCAAAATTTTAGTCAGGAAGATGGCGAAGGAGAAGAAGGTGTGATGGTTGAAATGGCTTACAGCAATTACGTTTCACGGCATAAGTTTTGGCTACAGTTCCCTCTATATTGTGCGTATATTGTGCTTAAAATATCATTATCTATATAGTGAAACCTATTGCATTGTTTCAGGAAGAAAAGTGTGAAATATAGACATAAAAATGCGAGAGTTCAAAGTAGTCGTCCTCGGATCGGGTGGGGTTGGCAAAAGTGCACTTACAGTCCAGTTCGTATCCGGTTGCTTTATGGAGAAATACGATCCAACTATCGAAGATTTCTACAGGAAGGAAATCGAAGTGGACAATTCTCCCTGTGTATTGGAAATTCTCGATACGGCTGGGACAGAACAATTTGCCAGCATGCGTGATTTATATATTAAGAATGGGCAAGGGTTTGTAGTAGTGTACAGTCTGACAAATCACCAAACGTTCCAAGACATAAAAGCAATGAAAGAGCTCATTACCCGAGTCAAAGGGACAGAAAGAGTACCTATATTGTTGGTAGCCAATAAAGTGGATCTTGAACATCAACGCGAAGTGTCAACCATCGAAGGAAATGGATTGGCGCAAGTGTGGGGATGCCCTTTTGTGGAAGCAAGTGCCAAAAACAGGACAAACGTAAACGAAATGTTTGCGGAGATTGTAAGAGAAATGAATTTCAGTCCCGAGAAGGAAAAGAAAAGTTACTGTTGTTGCACGGTGCTTTAGGCTATAATGAATTACTTAATTTCTTTGGCCAGCCTTTAAATTAGACACTTATCCTCCAAGAGTTTACTTTCCTGTATGACGTTGAAATGTTCTGAACAAAGGTTTGTAGGGCCTACGTATATAAAAAAACAACAAAAAACAAAACAGCGTTTAAAATTAATCTGGCCACTATTTAATGTTATGGTATTTTAATTTTGAATTGAATTGTGAATATCTGTTCATTTTACGTTAACTCTGAAGCTTTCATAATTGTGCTTTGTATGTCTGTTTACATGTTTTTGAGCCATTGCAATTATATTTTAAGCCTCAAGTAACATGTAGGACATGTTTAGTACCAGCAAGATTTTCTACCATGGGATTTTGCAGTTCGCTAGATACATTAGTGCCTCTGATACATGACAGAGCATGGGAATTTATACATCTCTTACAGACTAGAAAGAGTGTATGCTGTTGACAAGTCATGGCTGCACTATACTGGAATTAATGTTTGATGTATAGTCTCTCAGTAGGCCTACACACATTTCTGATGCTCACTAAACAGTACCAGAATGAATCAAATTTACATGGCATGTGAAAAGCATGAGAGGCATATTTTTAAAAGCCTGTGGTCAGATAAATTTTTTAATCAAGAACATGGGTGTTAATTATCATGAAGAATATTTGTTCTGTCATAACTACAAGCTTGCAAAAATATGCCTTAGTAATGAAGTAAAGAACACCATTGATTTTGCTGTAAAGTTATATTAAAATGAACTTGCAAAATTTTTTCCATTGTTACTCCAGAAACCAAAAGGGTACAATAATGCTGAATAAGAGTTCAGTACATCGATTCAGTCTGGCCTAAAGATCTTAACATCTTCATGGATGATGAATACCATTTACGATGGTGACTACAGATATACATATTTATGTACAATATCGTATCATATACAGCGCACATTGTTACATATTCAACGTCCCAAATTTTTTATAGTTGGTGCTGTGTCTTTTATGATGAATCATTTGCCATAATATAAATAATATTTAACTGAGTGATGTTTTATGTACAGAACATTTTTTTAGGAACTTACGTGTGACATGTTCTATACAGGTTCCACCTACATTGTTAGTTAATCAGTGGAATTTTTTTTTCATAAAGCATAAAAATACCAACAAAAAAAGTAATGTGTAATATCTTTCTATATAAATAATATGTCGATATATAAATATATCTTGCAGTCAGCCCTCTTGTTTTGGATTGAGTTGCAGCTGTAACTGCGTCTCCATTATGTGGTGCAAAGAATCGTGTGTCGTGACGTCAGAATTATATATTTCAAACTGTAGGTAACTTGTGTACTTAGTGAACAAGAAAGGTGGTCCTGTCACATATATTCTTTTCCTTCTGTGTGTGTGCGTGTGCTTGTACGAGTTTAACAAATGTCGGCAGACTTGTGATATCTATATATACCTGAAAAAAAAAATATTTCACTGGATATACTTTGGATTATCATATTACCAGGTACTGTAACTAAAATTCATATATTACCTATAGTTTTTAATAATCCATATCTAATTTGGCAAATATTTAATACGTAAAAAAGAAATCAGAAAAAATTGGGTCCATGTTTTAGAGTGCTTTTGTTCTTTTTTATTTCAGTGCATGTATCGTCTCACTTAAAATACCATGGTAACTTTTATTTTCGTGTTTGTATACATGGATTACAACTGTTCTGCCTCTTCCATGATCTCCAACTCTTAGATTAGCTGAATTCTAATCCAAATATATTTTCTGTAAGACTAGAATACATTGCGAAAAACAGAAATATGTTTTTCTAAACTAAAAAGTTGCTTTGCAACTCTGCAGTAAACGAACGAGTCTCATTGCTTGGCAGTACGTGGACAGGAGAAGTGTTAACCATATCAATTATCAAAATTTCTATGATGTGTAAAATACAGGGACTTTGAATTGCTAATATGATGTTGAAGTTACAGTTGACGACTCTGGCAGAACAGGAATACATTAATGTATTTTAAACTCAAGGCTTTATTGTGGGAAAAGTGATTTGTATTCTGAATATAAGAGGAATTGAACCAATAAAAGTATTGCTTGACAATTTACATGTTCTTTTATATCAATGCAATTAATTCAATTACCTAAATGATTTCTTTGTGTCCATGATATTGCATATTCTACAGATTTTAGGCCATTTCCGAAGGCCATAAAGTCTATTTATTTGAGTGGTGGTGTTACATTACCCAGACAACACACAAAGTCATAACATGCAAGACGTGTTACAAGATTGTGTCACTGCTGCAAAGGAAATTGATGAGCAATACTTAATGAGAAGTCAACTTTTGATATAATAGCTATATTTTTTTTATTCATCGATTTTTATATTATTTTGAAATTTATCTTTCCGTATTATGTACATCCTCCTTTAACTAAAGACCCTAGTGTCTTATTTATTATATCAACTGTTGACGTCTTTTCTTATTGATCTTATGATATGCCCAAATGTCAAGGGTGATTGTAAATATTAAATCCAGTCATTGATATGTATCAACCATCCTAATGTTATCACAATACTTTATGTGGACTTATAAAAAATACATGTGTTTAATTTGTGGTAAAGAAAATATTAAATCAATACCAGAAATAGATTTATAAATGTATAACAAATGACAAAAATATGTTTTAATACATGGTTTATACAAAACATAAACAAAAACTGGTTTTGTGTATCTTCTCTTTTATAATTTAGTTCCCATGGTCATTTTTGCTTACAAATCCTAGATCCTCATATTGCTGTGTTCAGTCTTGTGTATTTTGAGACTTTACGTAAGAAACAGTACAGTTTTTGCAATGCCTATGTAAGAAGCTGTCATTCCCCGCCACAAATGGATGTCACCAATACTGTAACACCTGGAAATTTGCCTTGAAATTACTTTCAAAACATAGTATAAAGTACATAGTACATACTCATCAGGCAAAGCTAAAACTATAGTTATTCCCTTTTTGGCATAACACATACCTGCCTGACATGGAACTGTTATTAGCAGAAGAGTAACAATTTTCTAAAATGCTGGTGCCACATAGCCTTGATAGAAGTTTACTGACATTTTGGAGGAACATACTGCCGCCATCTTGATGGTCAGAGATGTAAACCAGGCATCAGGCTACCTGCTTGCTTGTTTGCACAAATTACTCGTCAGTTCTGAAGATGAAGGTGGTACTTTTCGCCAAAATGCCTGTTAACTTTTACCGGATTATGCACGATCACATCCCAGAAGACAGTACTGTTCATAGCTTGGGTGCAGTTGCAGGCTCTTGCGAAAACTGTAATGAATCTTCATATGCCGTAAAAGGCAAGGAATTTCTTCTTAATTACTAGGTTTTCGGACTTTGTCCTCTGTCCAGTATTCTACAAATTAGAAAACATAATGTTTCAGAAACAGAAACAGCTATTCTGTTGGGTCCCTTAGAAAGAGCTAACCTCAATCACTGGGTCAGGTCCCCATGTGAGGGGGGAGACACCTACTGTTGTGTCCCTTATAAAGAGCTAACCTCAATCACTGGGCCAGGTCCCCATGTGAGGGGGGAGACACCTACTCTATTGGGTCCCTTAGAAAGAGCTAACCTCAATCACTGGGCCAGGTCCCCATGTGAGGGGGGAGACACCTACTCTGTTGGGGCCCTTAGAAAGAGCTAACGTCAATCACGGCCAGGTCCTGATGTGAGAGGGAGACACCTACTCTGTTGGGTCCCTAAGAAAGTATTAACCTCAATCATAGGGCCAGGTCCTCGTGTGAGGGTCCCTTAAAAAGAGCTAACCTCAATCCCTGGACAACCAATATCAAAAGTCGAGTTACTTTATGAGCGGTGTAAAACTTGAACTTTCCACAGATGACGCTAGCAGTAGACTCTATATGCTTTCAAAAATTCTCAATTTTATTTTATGCATCGGTGTTCATGGACTTGGTTTGTAGCATAAATTTCTACCTCCCTTCTATCCTAATTCCACGAATGTGCGTGCTTTATCACAATTTTTTATTGCTTATTTTCCTGTTATCTCCCTTTGACATAGCCTGGTCTCAGGTGTTTAAATGGCTGTAATGAACCTGACTGATTGAGGTTAGATCTTTCTAAGGGACTCAACAGAATAGGTCTCTTTCTCTCTCTCTAACCTGAGGACGGAAACAGATCCAGTTTCTGAAACGTTTTGTGCACTATTTTTTAGGATACCAGACGATGGACAAAGTCCAAAAACCCAGTAATTCTTGAGTGTTACACACCATCTCAGAACCCTTTAGCTAAGGACTTTCTTGACTAGCTGGTCGACTGCCACTTGAAGTTTATTGTATGAGTTGTGGGGAATTCCCCCCCCCCGTTAATACAGAATGTGTCCAAAAGGACGCAGTTACTTCTCACATCTGTCGCTTTGCCTAAGTGTGGGAATGACGAAATCCGTTGTAATACTTGATCCAACCAGCAGTAGTGTTTAATAGAAGCAGACACAAGGTGGTATTGCAAATATTTGTTGTTCCATATCAGTAGGAACTCTTCACTTCAATTTTGTGTCTTGAGCAGTCAAAGCAGATTGTCCTGAATGCTGATAAACCTAATTTATATTCAGGAATTACCTGGTCCGAGGTTCTGCCTCACTGTTGCTATTCGTTTCTTGTCTTAATGCATTCAGGCAAATAATATGATAGTACTCTTTAGTCCACTGCCATGTTTTTTTTTCTTATTTCTGCTCAAAATACACAAAATGATTATGTTTATACAGGGCTTTCATTATATAACGCTGCCATAAGCTTGCTTAAGTTTCCTCAAACTATCTCGGCCAGTTCTTTTTCCAGGCATGTTCACAGCATTATTTATTACAGAATCACGACTTTCTATCTTGTCACACACCACAACCATCAAAGTAGCTAAGATTATCCAAAGGGCAGATGTCTTGAAGCTGTCAAAGTATGCCAGTAGGCTTTAACAGGTCGCAGCCAAATCTTTCCACATCCTTCGTACCTTATGATTCAGTCACAATTGTCAATATACAGGGTGATTCTAAATTATCGGGGTTTCCGCTTATAGGCCACTTAAAACCTTGACAATAATTCAGAATCATCCTGTATAACCTGGGTAGTAGACTTTGTATTTGATCCAGAAGTGGCATATGAGTGGCAGTGAAGTTCAGAAGGTGAACTAAACTTTCCGCTTACTCAAGTCCTATTGGTGAATACATTTATGTCATCTTGGGGATCCTGTCTTCAGGTCATTCCAGTTTATCTGATAATACTTTTATGCCTTCAGGCATGTTTATAGTTCACAATCTTACTTTTACAGTCTGCCCCTTCAGGTTCCTCCTATCTGAAATTTAAGAAATCCCATATGTGCAGATTCCGTTGTGCTTTTCTCATTCTATTCCATAAGCCATATTTACCTTCCAAAAACACAAACTCTGCTTGAGTAACAATATTGTATACTTACATACATACTTACGTAGTTAGGGAGCTGAGCCCTTCTTGAGGAGAAGCCAAATCTGCAGCTACTCAAGAACTTCCCAGTATTTTATGGAACCCGAAGGTTCATTACCGTGTTCACAAATGCCCTCAACTGGTCCCTATCCTGAGCCAGATCAATCCATCCCATCCCGTCTCTCTAAGATTCATTTTAATATTGTCCCCCAACCTACGCCTTGGTCTTCCCAGTGGTGTCTTTCCTTCTGGCTTTCCCACCAATATCCTATATGCCCATTTCGTGCTACATGCCCTGCCCACCTCATCCTTGACTTGACCATTCTAATTGCACTTGGAGAAGTGTACACGTTATGAAGCTCCTCATTATGCAGTTTTCTCCGACAACAATATTGTATAGCGTTAGCAAAATTATGTATTCTTGTTCTTTGTACTCACGCGTGTATGTGTAGCTAATATTTCTCAATTTTCATACAGTCATATCTGGAATTTATCAATTCTTATTTATATTACCGACATGACGAACGTACGAACTTCTGAGATGAAAGCAATATTAACGCCAGCGAGAATTACATTCCCCTGAAACTGTATACAAGGAGATGCGGATAGGGCTCGTAAAGCCTTACTATGTCCTCTCACATAGTTAAGCACCACGCCATGAAGACGCATGGGGGAGTGAATGTATAGCTTCATGCCCCTGCATAGGAGGCTGGGAGGAGAACAGGACTGAACGTCATAACAAACTTCGTGGCCTCTAGTCCGCAAACGAACTATACCGACTGAGCGACCGCCGCTTGTCGGCGAAGTTAGTGCCAACTTTAGGGGATAGAGGGTGTCGCGTGGTCAGCGCATTGGATCCCCACGGCCGTTAATCTCGGTTTTCTAGTCCGGAGCCGCTGAGCGGACCCCGTTCCAGACCCACTACTTCTCAGAAAATGTGGTAACGCCGGGAATCGAACCCGGGACCTGTGGATCTGTAGCCAGGAACTCTTACCACAGAGGGCTGAACATCATGGAGGAGAGAACTTCTTCCCCCCCTGCTGGGAATCGAACCCCGACTGCACAGTCCAGCCCTCAGCCGGCTACTTTTATATCCATGAGTGGATCTGGTCTTGTGTCCAGTGTCACGTGTATCTGACGTTTCATGCACCTTTATTTTAGAATTTATTGTGTTACTAGTTTCATGAGCAGACTGTTATCGCGCGTCTGCTCACACTCCCCAGTCTATGTCTTCAGTAATCTTTTCTGTGTGGGTTACTCTATACGACAACAGTATTGTGATACTAAGCCTG